ACACACACACATACACTCACACACACACACACAAACACACACGCATACACACACACACACACACACACATACGAACAGAAAAGTATCATTTAAAAAAATTAGATTTTAATTAAAAGTACTCCAAAAAATTACAAAATACCGCAAAGACAACAACTGACAGCAAACAAAAAATAAACAATCCATTCTGAACACGAAACACAATTAGCAGCGGCTGGTCTTTAGTTCCCTTTTCCTCGTACTTAGTAGTATTAGTACTCTTATAGCACCGTTTTTTTGTACTGCATAAACCCGGGCGCTTGGTGCTCACACGTCTCTATACAACGCGTGGGGTTTTGTTTGAAATAAACTAGACCTGCACCTACCGGCTGTTAAGTCAAAAAACTGTTTTAACTAACAACCGTTACAACGGATTAACATGCTCAATCGTCCGTCACGCCATGACTGATCACAAGTGTAACGACCGACCGACGGGAAAGAGCAGGGAGCTGTGGCGTCGCCAAATCGATATTACATTTTGCAATGGTGAGGCAGCTTGGTGGAATTAGGCGCTCGTCTATTTTTGGGTATGTAGAGTTATTGGTATCATCATAAACATTGTTCACTTTTCTTTATTTGGATGAAAAAAGTATTCAATTATCTTAAATACAAGTCGAGATATTTACGACAGAAGGAGGTGGGGGTGACATGTTTTCAGAGGTAAAATTAGTGAGAAAATGGCCGCCAAAGGTTAGTTATTTCCTTAGCTTAAGAATCCGTGGTAACTAAAATTGTGCATTTTCTGTGTCTTTAATCAACGTTTTGAAGATCAATCCACTGAGAAAGGAGTTCTTTAATGGGCATGAAAGGTGTTGAGCCAAAAACAAAAATTTAATAAAAATAAACAAACCTGCAGAAAAATGCAAGTTTCTTTCATTTTGATTATTTTGACGAGAGCCTGATTCCAAAACGCTGCTCGTTTTACTAGGTGCTGCTACATTCATCCTTAATTTAAAATGAAATTTAACCATACGTGCTTTTGTTGCATGAAGCTGTGGTAAAGGCTTTGTAACAATGCTACCTGGGCATACTCTTTCCTTCATTTTCATAGTCAGCTGTTTGCCAAGTCCGCGCAAATTCTCAGGGGGCACAACCGGCGATTTTGAAGACGCTAGTGTTAGTTGTTCAAAGAGAGGAGTGAACTATTTTGTAGTAGAGCTGGGCGAAGAACCAATTCCGGAACCGATTCCCACGATAAATGCTACAGAAGAAAAGTTCCGACTCCTTTTTACATAAACCAACGGTTACCAGTAGCTTTAATAATTAAAATTTTCTTTTTTTTCTGAATTTTTTTTTTTTTTAAATGTTGATTCTTTGTAGTGTTCCGAAATCAAGGTTATCTTCAATCCTGAAGATGTTCGGAGCCAACCAGGTAACCACCAGAAGAAATCACATTATTAGAAAGAAAATAATTGGGTTCGGAGTCGATTTCTACCATTCCTAGTTTTAAATAATCGGGAACCTAGGTGCCCAGCACTATTTCGTAGTAAGCATATAGGATCGTTATGTTTGTCACGGCTCGATAACAAAATCGAACACCCTCCCTAGCCATTGTTGTTAAATACGCAGTTGAAAAA